CCCCGTTGGCCACAGGGGGCCCTGGCACATTGCCAATGCGGGTCAGCCGGCGTCATCGCCGTGCCAGGGGACACGAGAGCGTGGGGGGGTCAGGCCAGGAGCAGGAGGAAGGGCCCCCCCGCACTAACCAGCTGGGGAATTGAACTCGCGGACACTCGGGGGCCTGGGACCGCTGGAGAGCCAGCTCCCCTCTCTGCCCGGCGACCCGTGCAGGGCGAATCCAGCTTGGGAATGATCAGAGCAAAGGGCCTCGTTAAACCCCCTCCGGACTCCGCCCTGCCCTGGCTGGCTCTGCTGATGTGTGTGGGGCACTGGGGGCTTTTTTGCCCCCCAACTTTCCTAAGCCCTCTCCCCAGGGGAGCCGCTCAGAGCCAGGGGGTCTCCGTGCAGATCCAGGAGACACGCCCTGTGCTCGCTCTGACGGAGACGTTCCATTTGCCCTTGCCTGCCCGGGTCCCGGAAGGTGACTTTCGACTCAGTCTAAGCGTTCTGCCCTCCCGCAGGGAGACTCACAGGGATAGCGACGGCTTCTTCCTCGCCAGCAGTGTCACATCCCTCCTGGGTCAGCAAAGTCTTGCCCTGTTCTTTGTACTTCAACGCTGGGAACAAAGGGACAGACTCCTCCGGGCCTGTCCGGTCACTTACACCAGTGCTAAAAGACTGCAAGGGCCTGTCGGACTGGGAGCAGCACTGAAATGACTACACGACATTTTTTTCCATCCACGTGTGGAATAAATTTTATTCTGTGCACCAAGGCAGGTGTAGATGTGCACCACCTGGAGAACCACACGCTGCTGGCGGGGAGCGCTCTGCTCATCAGCCGAGTGGCATTTGGATTTCTCTTGGGTGGGCGCCCAAGCGCTCAGCTGACAGGGAATGCTGCCACGAAGCTGAAGAAAATGGGACCCACATTTTCTCCAGCCAGAGCTGCTGGTCCGGGACAGAATCCTGCTGCGAGCACAGGATGCTCAGACGCCCCAGAAGAGATCAGGGCCCCGTCGTGCGCAGACGCCCAAAGAGCTTGCTGCTTAACTAGACAAACCAGAGAAGGCGTGGGGGACTTATCGGGGTGTGAACAGGTAACTGGTTACCCGGGAAGCATCACCCTTAACAAGTATTAACTGAACAAGGGTTAACCGGGACCCCCATGGGGGGGGGGACGGCAGGAGGGAGGCTGGCAGCAGAAGGCAGCAGGCCGGGGGGGGCTCCCGCTAATCGGTCCATCCTACCGTGTAACCGGTGAACCGACTAAGCAGGATTTTACACCCCCGCGGAGCTGACATCCAGAGTCCTGGTGCTCACCACAGGCTCCGCTGCCTCGCGTCGCTTCCATCTAACACCGGGATTTTATTCATGCCACCCCGAGCCGCGCCGGCTGCACGCAGGCCCGACTCCAGCACACACGCCCGGCGCAGAGCTGCTGCATA